AGTGGTTTGTGTTATCTTGGGGGGAGTGGTTTGTGTTATCTTGGGGGGAGTGGTTTGTGTTATCTTGGGGGGAGTGGTTTGTGTTATCCTGGGGGGAGTGGTTTGTGTTATCTTGGGGGGAGTGGTTTGTGTTATCCTGGGGGAGTGGTTTGTGTTATCTTGGGGGGAGTGGTTTGTGTTAACTTGGGAGGAGTGGTTTGTGTTATCCTGGGGGGAGTGGTTTGTGTTATCTTGGGGGGAGTGGTTTGTGTTATCTTGGGGGGAGTGGTTTGTGTTATCCTGGGGGAGTGGTTTGTGTTATCCTGGGGGGAGTGGTTTGTGTTATCTTGGGGGGAGTGGTTTGTGTTATCTTGGGGGGAGTGGTTTGTGTTATCCTGGGGGAGTGGTTTGTGTTATCCTGGGGGGAGTGGTTTGTGTTATCTTGGGGGGAGTGGTTTGTGTTATCTTGGGGGGAGTGGTTTGTGTTATCCTGGGGGGAGTGGTTTGTGTTATCTTGGGGGGAGTGGGTTGTGTTATCCTGGGGGGAGTGGTTTGTGTTATCCTGGGGGAGTGGTTTGTGTTATCTTGGCAGGGGGGAGTGGTTTCTGTTATCCTGGGGGGAGTGGTTTGTGTTATCTTGGGGGAGTGGTTTGTGTTATCTTGGCAGGGGAGTGGTTTGTGTTATCTTGGGGGAGTGGTTTGTGTTATCTTGGGGGAGTGGTTTGTGTTATCCTGGGGGAGTGGTTTGTTATCTTGGCAGGGGGAGTGGTTTGTGTTCTCTTGGGGGAGTGGTTTGTGTTATCCTGGGGGAGTGGTTTGTTATCTTGGCATGGGGAGTGGTTTGTGTTATCTTGGCAGGGGGAAGTGGTCTGTGTTATCTTAGCAGGGGGAGTGGTCTGTGTTATCTTGGCAGAGGTGTGTGGTCTGTGATATCTTGGCAGGGGGGAGTGGTCTGTGTTATCTTGGCAGGGGGAGAGTGGTCTGTGTTATCTTGGCAGGGGAAGTGGTCTGTGTTATCTTGGGGGGAGTGGTTTGTGTTATCTTGGGGGAGTGGTCTATGTTATCTTGGCAGGGGGAGTGGTTTGTGTTATCTTGGCAGGGGGAAGTGGTCTGTGTTATCTTAGCAGGGGGAGTGGTCTGTGTTATCTTCGCAGGGGTGTGTGGTCTGTGTTATCTTGGCAGGGGGGAGTGGTCTGTGTTATCTTGGCAGGGGGAGAGTGGTCTGTGTTATCTTGGCAGGGGAAGTGGTCTGTGTTATCTTGGGGGAGTGGTTTGTGTTATCCTGGGGGAGTGGTCTGTGTTATCTTGGCTGGGGAGTGGTTTGTGTTATCTTGACAGTGGGGAGTGGTCTGTGTTATCTTGGGGTGGAGTGGTTTGTGTTATCTTGGAGGGAATGGTCTGTGTGTTGTCTATGGGGTGTGGTTTGTGTTATTTTGGCAGGGGGAGTGGTCTGTGTTATCTTGGGGGGAGTGGTTTGTGTTATCTTGGGGGAGTGGTCTGTGTTATCTTGGCAGGGGAGTGGTTTGTGTTATCTTGACAGGGGTGTGTGGTCTGTGTTATCTTGCAGGGGGGAGTGGTCTGTGTTATCTTGGCAGGGGTGTGTGGTCTGTGTTATCTTGGCAGGGGGAGTGGTCTGTGTTATCTTGGCAGGGGGGAGTGGTCTGTGTTATCTTGGCAGGGGGAGAGTGGTCTGTGTTATCTTGGCAGGGGTGTGTGGTCTGTGTTATCTTGGCAAGGGGAGTGGTCTGTGTTATCTTGGCAGGGGTGTGTGGTCTGTATTATCTTGGCAGGGGGAGTGGTCTGTGTTATCTTGGCAGGGGTGTGTGGTCTGTGTTATCTTGGCAGGGGGAGTGGTCTGTGTTATTTTGGCAGGGGTGTGTGGTCTGTGTTATCTTGGCAGGGGTGAGGTCTGTGTTATCTTGGCAGGGGAGTGGTCTGTGTTATCTTGGCATGGGGGAGTGTTCTGTGTTATCTTGGCATGGGGGAGTGGTCTGTGTTATCTAAGCAGGGGGAGTGGTCTGTGTTATCTTAGCAGGGGGAGTGGTCTGTGTTATCTTGGCATGGAGTGGTCTGTGTTATCTTGGCATGGGGGAGTGGTCTGTGTTATCTAAGCAGGGGGAGTGGTCTGTGTTATCTTAGCAGGGGGAGTGGTCTGTGTTATCTTGGCAGGGGTGTGTGGTCTATGTTATCTTGGCAGGGGAGTGGTCTGTGTTATCTTGGCAGGGGGTGTGGTCTGTGTTATCTTGGTATGGGGAGTGGTCCGTGTTGTCTTGGGGGGGAGTTGTCTGTGTTATCTTGGGGGGAGTGGTTTGTGTTATCTTGGGGGGAGTGGTCTGTATTATCTTGGGGGGAGTGGTTTGTGTTATCTTGGGGGAGTGGTCTGTGTTATCTTGGGGGAGTGGTCTGTGTTATCTTGGGGGAGTGGTTTGTGTTATCTTGGGGGGATTGGTTTGTGTTATCTTGGGGGAGTGGTCTGTGTTATCTTGGGGGGAGTGGTTTGTGTTATCTTGGGTTAGTGGTCTGTGTTATCTTGGGGGGGAGTGGTTTGTGTTATCTTGGGGGAGTGGTCTGTGTTATCTTAGGGGGAGTGGTTTGTGTTATCTTGGGAGAGTGGTCTCTGTTATCTTGGGGGAGTGGTTTGTGTTATCTTGATGAGTGGTCTGTGTTATCTTGGGGGAGTGGTTTGTGTTATCTTGGGGAGTGGTCTGTGTTATCTTGGGGTGTGTGGTCTGTGTTATCTTGGCAAGGGGAGTGGTTTTTGTTATCTTGGCAGGGGGAGTGGTCTGTGTTATCTTGGCAGGGGGAGTGGTCTGTGTTATCTTGGCAGGGGGAGTGGTCTGTGTTATCTTGGCAGGGGGAGAGTGGTCTGTGTTATCTTGGCAGGGGGGGTGTGGTCTGTGTTATCTTGGCAGGGGGAGTGGTCTGTGTTACCTTGGTAGGGGGAGTGGTCTGTGTTATCTTGGCAGGGGAGTGGTCTGTGTTATCTTGGCAGGGGGAGTGGTCTGTGTTATCTTGGCAGGGGGAGTGGTCTGTGTTATCTTGACAGGGGGAGAGTGGTCTGTGTTATCTTGGCAGGGGGTGTGGTCTGTGTTATCTTGGCAGGGGGAGTGGTCTGTGTTATCTTAGCAAGGGAGTGGTCTGTGTTATCTTGGCAGGGGGTGTGGTCTGTGTTATCTTGGCAGGGGGAAGTGGTCTGTGTTATCTTGGCAGGAAGGATTGGTCTGTGTTATCTTGGCAGGGATGTGTGGTCTGTGTTATCTTGGCAGGAAGGAGTGGTCCCTGAGGACCCCATACCCTGGGGACCCCATACCCTGAGGACCCCCATACCCTGAGGACCCCATACTCTGAGGACATCATACCCTGAGGACCCCATACCCTGGGGACCCCATACCCTGAGGACCCCATACCCTGAGGACCCCATATCCTGAGGATCCCATACCCTGAGGACCCCATACCCTGAGGACCCCATACCCTGGGGATCCCATATCCTGAGAACCCCATACCCTGAGGACCCTATACCCTGGGACCCCATACCCTGAGGACCCCATACCCTGGGACCCCATACCCTGGGACCCCATACCCTGAGGACCCCATACCCTGAGGACCCCATACCCTGGGGACCCCATACCCTGAGGACCCCATACCCTGGGGACCCCCATATCCTAAAGACCCCATACCCTGGGGACCCCATACCCTAAAGACCCCATACCCTGAGGACCCCATACCCTGGGACCCCATACCCTGAGGACCCCATACCCTGAGGACTCCATACCCTGGGGACCCCATACCCTGAGGACCCCATACCCTGGGGACCCCATACCATAAAGACCCCATACCCTGAGGACCCCATACCCTAAAGACCCCATACCCTGGGACCCCATGATCTGAGGACCCCATACTCTGAGGACCCCATACCCTGAGGACCCCATACCCTGAGGACCCCATACCCTGGGGCTCTCTCTGTATTAGGCTGGGTGATGGAGTGCCAGATATCGTTCTTCCGTAGTGGGTATAGTGGATATCGTCCTTCCAAACAGGGTGACGGGAATGGATATCGTGCTGACATCGTTGGTTACAATATAGATGCAGGATATCGTCCATACAGCAATGATTTTTATAGTGGACAATATCTCCTTTGTTCTATACTCCCTCGACCCAAACCGTATTCCGTGGTGTGTATATATAACAACTGACACGACATATGCTCCCCACCTTGTGTTGGTGTATATATATATATATATATATATATATATATATATATATATATATATATATATATATATATATATATATATATATATATATATATATATATATATATATATATATATATATATTTTGGTAGCAGTCTTTCCTGTAGACATATATTATTAAATATGACCGAAAAAGTAAGATTAATAATTCTAACACGAATTTTCTCAATCAGAAAAATCAGTTTTCTCAATCAGAATTTTCTCAAAACCAGAAAAACGGCCAGCCTACTCATGAGAAACTCTCCAGACACAAAACAGAACGCTTTAAAAGAGACTAACGTCGTCTATGCCTTCAAATGCCCACTTGGGGACTGTAAGCTCCAAAAAACCCAGTATATAGGCAAGACAACAACATCTCTTTCTAGGCGTTTAACGATGCATAAGCAACAGGGGTCCATTAAGGAACATATAATCTCTTCCCATAACCAAACCATCGCCAGAGAAATCCTAGTAAACAACACAGAAATCATCGATAGATACAGCGATAGCAGGCGGCTTGACGTTTGCGAGGCACTACACATCAAGAAGTCAACACCAGCAATCAACAGCCAATTATTGCACAACTATATTCTACCCACCTCAAGACTCCGCTCCAATATAGAAGCATCAAGAAATATGGACCAATAGGCTTTCTACAAACACTTCTATTCAATACCCATTGTTTCTGTTCTGTCTTGTGTTGATACTTTTAATACCCTATTAATATCCCCTAGTGTTCTGTCTTGTGTTAATGCCACATCACCCTTCCCACCTCACTCAAATGTAGATATAAAATCAGGGAAACGCAAGTTCTAATCAGTTGTGTATTTGTGAAGTCTTTGAAAATGTAATAAGTTTTACGAAACGCGCCCGTGTCGCGTCAGACTAGAAATAAAAATGAATTTTGGAGAAGTGATTTTTGATTTACCTCCAACAGTGAAGCGTAATGTACGAAAGATTGAGAAAATTCGTGTTAGAATTATTAATCTTACTTTTTCGGTCATATTTAATAATATATATATATATATATATATATATATATATATATATATATATATATATATATATATATATATATATATATATATATATATATATATATATATATAGTGGTTAATAGTCATACTGTTGATGGGCTCCACAAGGCCAGTAGAGTATATTTAGCCAGGTGATCTCCCTCATTGCGTCCAGATTTACCTTTGGTTAGATGTCCCACGTCTCGGGCCGCGCTATTTATTACCTGTTGACCCGAGCTGCTGACCCCCAACCTTTGATGCCAGGCTTTGGGTTCTGTTGAGGATAGTGGCCTTGATTAGCTTCATTAGCCTCAAGGGGACCAATGTGGCCACACACCGGGAACAAGCTGCACTACGGTAGTAATTTAGTCATTCACAGTTGCCTTGATCAGTCTCCCTGATGAAGGTAATATTTAAAATGTCCGTCTGAAGCCTGGGTTGGCTAGCTGCTACTGTACTTGCGTAGACGGGTCACGATAACGTGGCTGAAGTAGTTTGACCAGACCATACACTAGAAGGTGAAGGGACGACGACGTTTCGGTCCGTCCTGGACCATTCTCAAGTCGTGTGTGTGATCATATACGACTTGATAATGGTCCAGGACAGACCGAAACGTCGTGGTTTCTTCATCTTGTGGTGTGTGGTCCTGTCGTCACAGCGACGGTCCAGTTCCTGCGCTCATTGTGGCCCTTTTTCCCTTCTTGTTTGGCTCTTGGTTCATCTTACGCTGACACTGGACGGTTGTTGTGTTTATATATAGACGCCAGACACGGTGAGTGACTCCCTCTTTTCAATCCGGCCCTTCCTGCCCCACCTCACCCAGCCCCACCTCGCCCCTACCCCACCCAGCCCCACCTCGCCCATACCCCACCCAGCCTCACCTCACCCCTACCCCACCCAGCCCCACCTCGCCCCTACCCCACCCAGCCCCACCTCGCCCCTACCCCTCCAACCCCACCTCACCCCTGCCCCTCTACCATAGCTAACACTAGGCACTAAGTCCCTGCCTCCCGCAGCCGCGTCCCTGCTGGCGGCGATGGACCAGACTGCGGACCCCTGCACCGACTTCTTCCAGTACGCCTGCGGCATGTGGAACAAGAAGCACGTCATCCCCGAGGACCGCGCCTCCATCAACACCTTCGAGGTCATGGCCGACCAGCTCCAGAAGATCCTCAGAGGTAGGCGCCACCTTCCCAGTGCCTCTGATGCTGGTCACTAAACTCTTCAATAGACTCTCAATTTTGGGGAAGAAATATTCATATGTAATGATCAGACTTGGCTACCTAACCTAACCTACTTGACAATTATTCTTTAAGCAGGTTTAACATAGCTAAAATAATAAATAAAATAATTTTAGCTAATAAATATTATTTTAGCAATTAATATAATCTATAATATGATAATCTAATTAAGTGAAACGTGTTTTTGTTTTTAAATAATTAAATGTACACTCTAGCTATACCCATAGCATCTTTAGTGGGTGCGATTTGAACTAGATCATATACTTAACACAAAACATTGGCCTTAGTACTGCCTATATGACAGTACTCTCTTTCTTAAGAGAGTACTCCCTTAAGATAAAGAGTACTGTCGGCTCTTAACTCTTTCAACAATAGATCAAGACAGACAGTAAATAATATAGGACGAAAAACTGCACTTTGTCTGACTCCTATATTCCCTGAGAAATATTCGGAGATCATTATTCCATCTCACAGCAAGCTTCCATACCTGATCAGAAATATAGAGATATCTAGCATTGACAAGGGATATGACAATCGCTTTTATGTTAAGTAATTCTCTTAATATAATTACACTCAGTGGGTTAGTACTATAAGGCCTATCTTATTCTGGAGCTTTATAAACAATCTTCCTAACTGGATAGACTTTTTCCTCTTAGCATTTGCTGATAACACATTAGTTATGAAGAATATAAACTCGGTTAAAGTACTGATAGAAACAACATCATGACCATAGCAAATGGAAAGAATGGCTCAACCAGGAGCTGCTAAAATAGTGAAATTGGGTGAAGGGAAAAGGAGGGATATACGTTACAAATGGGAAAGAAAATTTTACAGAAAAAGTACTTGTAAGATTGATAAAACTTCGAGCCAGTCTCCTGAGGCTCACGTTAATCAGTTTCAGATGTTAGTTTTCTAAAGAACTGTCTTTAGAAATCTGGAGTCATTGAAGGCCAGGTATACCATACATGTCAGACCAATCCTAGAATATACAGCACCAGCGCGGAGTTCTTATCTCTTTAAGTACAAAAACTAAACTGGAGAAGTCTCAGAGGAATGCTTCCAGAATAGTCTCAAAGCTAAGAGGTATGTGTTACCAAGAAAGTCTAAATAAACTGAAATTTACGTGTTTGAGAGAAATATTAATCAGGCAAGACATGATCACAGCGTACAAAATTCTCCTATGAACATACAGGCCAGACAAAAAGATTATTTAGCATGGATTATATACGAATAAAGAAACACATGTTGAAACTAAGTACTCAATTAAACGAAGCCAAACAATTAAACGAAGTACTCAATTAAACGAAGCCAAACAATTAAACGAAGTACTCAATTAAACCACGAAGACAGAAATAACTTATTTCATTATCAGAATAGTGAACAAATGAAAGGCGCTAACAAATGAAATAGCGGAGGCAGATTCGATAAACAGCTTCAAATGTAGACATGATAAAATCCAAAGTAGTTGAGAACCTTTACACCAGTTGACTGACTGTTAAGAAGCGGGACCAAAGAGCTGAAGTCCAACCCTACATGCACGTTTAAGTGAGTACAACCACGGCGCACACGCATTAACTATGCACACAAACATTACGAACACAAAATACACACACAAAACTACAAACTTATAAGAAAAATATCAAATTTTTGTCAAAAATTTTAGCGAAGAATACCACGTACTACAAAAAATATAAACTTCTAACAAAAGATGTCAGCTACTATAAAGACCTATGAACCTCTAACAATGCCAGTCTTTTTCTAACCATTAGATACGCAATAACCTGTGCCAAGATCTAACAAAAAAGACCAGCCTCTACCAAAGTGTCCACTACTAACAAAAGTGCTGACAACCATAAAACTAGCAAAAAGTGAAACCTATCGAATCTATAAGAAACACTGACACTGAAAAAGAACACATAGCCAACAAAATTAAGATGTTGCAAGTACCCGCAAAACTAGTAAACTTTATGAATTTAATAAGAAACCCCCAAAAAACAAGTTAAACTGAGGAACTAAGATGTTTGAGTAACGAGAGAAACCTTCCACAGGGCTGCTGGAGACGCCGATCCTGCCGGTGGAGGGACACGCCACCAGGAAAGCAAAACTCTTCTACTCTGCCTGCATGAACACAAGTAAGCTGTACTGGGGGAAGGGGGAGGACTGTGGGTGACTAAGTGTGACTTGGGGGAGGGTTAAGGTGGACTGGGTAAAGACGTCTGTAAGGGGCGTTGGGGGGGGAGAAGGATGGGTGAGGGTTTGTTAAGTGTGGTAAAGACGCGAATTAGGTGAAGCACGAAAGATGTTTGATAAGTTGCGTTGCGTCTAAGGTTCCTTGTCCCTGATGAGCTCGGTTGCGTTCTGGTGTAGTTGGTCACATGTACGCAGGTGTAGGAGGTCATGTGTACACAGGTGTAGGAGGTCACATGTACGCAGATGTAGGAGGTCATGTGTACACAGGTGTAGGAGGTCACATGTACGCAGATGTAGGAGGTCATGTGTACACAGGTGTAGGTGGTCACATATACGCAGGTGTAGGTGGTCACATATACGCAGGCTGCGACACAAACCCATCAACCATCAAGCACAAAATGGCGTCGCTGAGAGACGTTGTGATCCCCTGCAGGCCAGATCGAGATGACGGGCGACGGGCCCCTGGCGGAGGTGCTGGAGTCGCTGGGTGGGTGGCCGGTGACGACGCCCAACTGGACCACGCCGCCCTTCTCCGTGGAGACGCTCATCGGGCGGCTGCGGGGAGAACTGAACCAGGGCATCCTCATCGACCAGTGGGTGGGACCCGACGACAAGAACTCTTCCGTTAATGTCATCCAGGTGAGATATAATCCTTTGTAATACATTTCGTACTGTTTCTTGGGTCACTGGACGACTTTGGGTTGCTATATCCTTGGTGACAGGGGGTTATGTGCAGGCGATGAGTCACAATAACGTGGCTAAAGTATGTTGACCAGACCACACACTAGAAGGTGAAGGGACGACGACGACGTTTCGGTCCGTCCTGGACCATTCTCAAGTCGACTTGAGAATGGTCCAGGAAGGACCGAAACGTCGTCGTCCCTTCACCTTCTAGTGTGTGGTCTGATCAACAGGGGTTATGTCATTGGCATCTGAGCCAATGACATATATATAATGACTTGTTCCATATATAATAAACATGCGATAAAAGATGTTAGTTTATATTCTAATAAAAACTTATCAAACATATTTAAGAACAACCTTCATCAATTGAAACAAAAATAATAATACTAATGTAGGCGCTGAGACAGATGTTAGTGACAGACAGCTCAAGTTTGGAGCTCCACTTCAGTGACTTTCGCCATCTTTTTAAGATGTAAAATACACCTTTTGTAGCGTCTTGGAAATGTTCTTGTTTGAATACTACAATTTACCTGTACACGGTGTCGGTTTCGAGAGTTGTGCTCTAACAGCCTGGCCGGGTGTCTGGCTTTCCCATAATAACTTTAATTGTAAGGAACCGACATTGATAATTCTACATAATTTGCGTAAGTATACCAGCGTTGAACATGGGGCTTATAAATTATAATAAATTAACTGAATAAATTTTGTGTAATATTGTTATATCAAGATTTATTAGTGAAATGTGATGTCGAGTTTCCGTAGAGTTTTATCATCCTGCTAGATGGGGATTTTTAGTACCACTGCTACGTACCATATTCACTCTTGTGATGATGATGTTGATAGCCTCATAATGCACCCAGAGTCTGCCAGTGCAGACTACTGGTCACATGCCTCTATATGACTAACCATCCTGTGTGATGGGGATTTTAGCATCACGTAGCTAGTTTTTTGACGCACACTGTACTCCCCTACATATAGTACTCCCCACACTGTACATATAGTAAATAAATAATGCTGCACAGAACAAGTCGTTCAGAATCTGTTACAAGGATACGAACTCACGTGAACGTAACTCGTCGTGATAACAGACATAACAGTTAAAGGAGCATGTAACAGTGCGTATGTTAACTGTTTAATGGGCAAACTTCCATATTTTGTACATGTAAACTATTATGCTTGTATACTGCCTCACCATTACTGTATTACCACACTGTTAATTACTCACCACCACCACCACTGTCACCTGTATTACCACACTGTTAATTACTCACCACCACCACCACTGTCACCTGTATTACCACATTAATTTTATTGTTTGGGTTTAAAAGGTGAATATCATATTTGTGCTGATATTTTGTGAACGATATTGACTTAATGTGACGTATATTAACCTGGTCACCACGTATATTGACCATCCGTCACAGGTAATCTCCACTATCAACGATAGTGAAGATTACCTGTGATGGAGGAGGACTGTGGGTGGAGTGTTAATGTTTGAGGTAAAAGACAGAATGACATATATTAATGTGATGTTTATCAATTGCTTTTCTCAAAATATTGCAATCATATGTGACGCCTTGCCTGTGGCGGCGTCCTTGGCCACTCTGATGGGCATGTTTCCTTACTGAAGAAGTGTTACATATAATAAACAAGGGCGAGTTACACTTTTATCTCATTTAATATTGTAAGTTAATAATGATCATGTTACAAGCCATGATCATTATACAATGTATATATATCCCTGTGCAGGCGACGAGTCACAATAACGTGGCTGAAGTATGTTGACCAATCCACACACTAGAAAATGAAGGGACAACGACATTTCGGTCCGTTGATTCTCACAATCGACTTGAGAATGGTCTAGGACGGACGGAAACGTCGTCGTCCCTTCACCTTCTAATGTGTGGTCTGGTCAATATATAAGTCCGTGACGTGATGAAGTGACTGGTAGTGAGCCAGTGACGTGTTCTTCTCCTCCCCAGCTGGACCAGATGGTTCTGGGACTCTCCAGCCGGGACTACTTCCTCAGAACCAACTCCTCCCGTCCTGCTCTCGACGCCTACCTCAAGTACGTCCCTTTGTCTCACCACACTACTGGTTGGCCCGGTCTGGGGTTGGCCCGGTCTGGGGTTGGCCCGGTCTGGGGTTGGTCCGGTCTGCAGTTGGTCCGGTCTGCGGTTGACCCGGTCTGGGGTTGGCCCGGTCTGGGGTTGGCCCGGTCTGGGGTTGGTCCGGTCTGCGGTTGACCCGGTCTGGGGTTGGTCCGGTCTGTGGTTGGTCCGGTCTGGGGTTGGCCCGGTCTGGGGTTGGTCCGGTCTGCGGTTGGCCCGGTCTGGGGTTGGCCCGGTCTGGGGTTGGTCCGGTCTGCGGTTGACCCGGTCTGGGGTTGGCCCGGTCTGGGGTTGGTCCGGTCGGTGGTTGGCCCGGTCTGGGGTTGGCCCGGTCTGCGGTTGGCCCGGTCGGTGGTTGGCCCGGTCTGGGGTTGGCCCGGTCTGCGGTTGGCCCGGTCTGGGGTTGATCCTTCCTGTGATTTAACTGGACCAAGGGTGACATAAGACGAGTGAGAACTAATAACTGAGGATCAAACCCTGACCAGTGAGCCATAGAGGGAATAGAATTAATCTTCTATATGTATAAAAGACAATGTCCGTCTGTATGTTTAGACTCTTACCACTTGGGCTGGACGGTAGAGCGACGGTCTCGCTTCGTGCAGGTCGGCGTTCAATCCCCGACCGTTCAAGTGATTGGGCACCATTCCATCCCTCCTGTCCTATCCCAAATCCTTATCCTGACCCATTCCCAGTGCTATATAGTCGTAATGGCTTGGTGTTTTTCCCTGATAGTTCCCTTTCAGACTCTTGGGGGGGCGGGTGAGTGTCCTCAAACGTTGCAGGTGACTGGTCTTTATACCGGGGTGGTCATTCATATGTCGGGGTCTACCACCATCACCACGCAACTTTGGCGTGGAATTTTAAACGAATTTTAAGTTCCAGTCTCGTTAAACACCGGACTCCGTACTCGCTAACATTTATCCCGCTAATCATTGTCCACGCAAGACAAACCAATATACAATTATGTAGTTAATGAAGACTGCGTATGTTTGTAGTTGTTACAGTGAGGGAGAGGGAAGGTGGTGATGGAGAGGGAAGGTGGTGGAGGAGAGGGAAGGTGGTGGAGGAGAGGGAAGGTGGTGAGGGAGAGGGAAGGTGGTGGAGGAGAGGGAAGGTGGTGGAGGAGAGGGAAGGTGGTGGAGGAGAGGGAAGGTGTGGAGGAGAGGGAAGGTGGTGAAGGAGAGGGAAGGTGGTGGAGGAGAGGGGAAGGTGGTGGAGGAGAGGGAAGGTGGTGGAGGAGAGGGAAGGTGGTGAAGGAGAGGGAAGGTGGTGAAGGAGAGGGAAGGTGGTGATGGAGAGGGGAAGGTGGTGGAGGAGAGGGAAGGTGGTGGAGGAGAGGGAAGGTGATGGAGGAGAGGGAAGGTGGTGAAGGAGAGGGAAGGTGTGGAGGAGAGGGAAGGTGGTGAAGGAGAGGGAAGGTGGTGGAGGAGAGGGAAGGTGGTGGAGGAGAGGGAAGGTGGTGGAGGAGAGGGAAGGTGATGGAGGAGAGGGAAGGTGGTGGAGGAGAGGGAAGGTGGTGAAGGAGAGGGGAAGGTGGTGGAGGAGAGGGAAGGTGGTGGAGGAGAGGGAAGGTGGTGAAGGAGAGGGAAGGTGGTGATGGAGAGGGAAGGTGGTGAAGGAGAGGGAAGGTGGTGGAGGAGAGGGAAGGTGGTGGAGGAGAGGGAAGGTGGTGAAGGAGAGGGAAGGTGGTGAAGGAGAGGGAAGGTGGTGGAGGAGAGGGAAGGTGGTGGAGGAGAGGGAAGGTGGTGAAGGAGAGGGAAGGTGGTGGAGGAGAGGGGAAGGTGGTGGAGGAGAGGGAAGGTGGTGGAGGAGAGGGAAGGTGGTGGAGGAGAGGGAAGGTGGTGAAGGAGAGGGAAGGTGGTGAAGGAGAGGGAAGGTGGTGGAGGAGAGGGGAAGGTGGTGGAGGAGAGGGAAGGTGGTGGAGGAGAGGGAAGGTGGTGGAGGAGAGGGAAGGTGGTGAAGGAGAGGGAAGGTGGTGAAGGAGAGGGAAGGTGGTGAAGGAGAGGGGAAGGTGGTGGAGGAGAGGGAAGGTGGTGGAGGAGAGGGAAGGTGGTGAAGGAGAGGGAAGGTGGTGAAGGAGAGGGAAGGTGGTGGAGGAGAGGGAAGGTGGTGGAGGAGAGGGAAGGTGGTGGAGGAGAGGGAAGGTGGTGAAGGAGAGGGAAGGTGGTGAAGGAGAGGGAAGGTGGTGGAGGAGAGGGGAAGGTGGTGGAGGAGAGGGAAGGTGGTGGAGGAGAGGGAAGGTGGTGAAGGAGAGGGAAGGTGGTGAAGGAGAGGGAAGGTGGTGAAGGAGAGGGAAGGTGGTGAAAGAGAGGGAAGGTGGTGGAGGAGAGGGGAAGGTGGTGGAGGAGAGGGAAGGTGGTGGAGGAGAGGGAAGGTGGTGAAGGAGAGGGAAGGTGGTGAAGGAGAGGGAAGGTGGTGGAGGAGAGGGAAGGTGGTGAAGGAGAGGGAAGGTGGTGAAGGAGAGGGAAGGTGGTGAAGGAGAGGGAAGGTGGTGATGGAGAGGGAAGGTGGTGGAGGAGAGGGAAGGTGGTGATGGAGAGGGAAGGTGGTGGAGGAGAGGGAAGGTGGTGAAGGAGAGGGAAGGTGGTGGAGGAGAGGGAAGGTGGTGGAGGAGAGGGAAGGTGGTGAAGGAGAGGGAAGGTGGTGAAGGAGAGGGAAGGTGGTGGAGGAGAGGGAAGGTGGTGGAGGAGAGGGAAGGTGGTGAAGGAGAGGGAAGGTGGTGAAGGAGAGGGAAGGTGGTGGAGGAGAGGGAAGGTGGTGAAGGAGAGGGAAGGTGGTGATGGAGAGGGAAGGTGGTGGAGGAGAGGGAAGGTGGTGATGGAGAGGGAAGGTGGTGGAGGAGAGGGAAGGTGGTGAAGGAGAGGGAAGGTGGAGAAGGAGAGGGAAGGTGGTGATGGAGAGGGAAGGTGGAGAAGGAGAGGGAAGGTGGTGAAGGAGAGGGAAGGTGGTGGAGGAGAGGGAAGGTGGTGATGATAATGGCTGCAGTTGGGTTACCCGGCGATGCTCGGGTAGCGAAGATGAGAACAATGAGGAGAATGGTCGTGTGTAGTGTAGAAGGTAACAGTGATAAAGATGGAATGAAGTCTCCGTCACCTGAGCAGCGCCAGGGGTCTGAGGACTGGGTGAGGGGTCTGAGGACCGGGTGAGGGGTCTGAGGACTGGGTGAGGAGTCTGAGGACCGGGTGAGGGGTCTGAGAACCGGGTGAGGGGTTTGAAGACCGGGTGAGGGGGTCTGAGGACCGGGTGAGGGGTCTGAGAACCGGGTGAGGGGTTTGAGGACCGGGTGAGGGGGTCTGAGGACCGGGTGAGGGGTCTGAGGACCGGGTGAGGGGGGTCTAAGGACCGGGTGAGGGTCTGAGGACCGGGTGAGGGGTCTGAGGACTGCGTAAGGGGTCTGAGGACTGGGTGAGGGGTCTGAGGACTGAGTGAGGGGTCTGAGGACCGGGTGAGGGGGTCTGAGGACCGGGTGAGGGGTCTGAGGACCGGGTGAGGGGGGTCTGAGGACCGGGTGAGGGGTCTGAGAACCGGGTGAGGGGGTCTAAGGACC